CTGTATCAGTCAGATCTTATTTGACGGTATACACACACACATGATGCTGCCAATTGGTCCAGTGGTGAGAATCTTTGTTTTCTTGATGTTGAGCTTCAATCCATATTGAAGGCTGCAGTCCTTGACCTTCTGCAGCAAGTGCCTCTCTAGACTTCATTAAAATTATTCATTCAAGTCATTTCATTAAAATCCTTAATGAAAAGAAGCACACATTGGAAAGTATCAGTAACCCAACTTGACTATGAAAAGAACACACCCCTATTTTGATGTGTATATGTCCGTTTCTCATGTATGTGAAAGCAAGACTCTGAATGAGGAAAACTGAAGAAGAGTTGATGTCCTTGTACCGTGGTGTTGGTGAAGAACCGTGGACCATCCAAAGAACAAAACTATCTGCTCTGTCTTGGAGGAAGGCAGCCAGTGACGATGGTGGAACCTGGTCTCCTGTACTTTGGATATGTTGTCTGCAAGGGTCAATCCTTGGAAAATGACATCATACTGCAAACGGTGGAGGGTCAGTGAGAGAGAGGAAGCCCTTGAAGGAGATGGATTTCCCACAACAGTGCCTGCGACAGTGGACTTGAGCATGGTGGTGACTGAGGATGACACAGGACAGGGCAACATTTGGCTCTGTTGTTCAGAGGATTGTTATGAGTCATTGTCAATTCAATGGCACCTGCCAATAACAACATGTCTTAAAAAAATTGTATTAATTTTAATGAACATTGACAGATATTTTGGATTTCCATTCACTCATTGTTGCATTTTTCTCCCTGCCCACCCCTCTCCCCAGTTCACTCTTCTCTTTGAAAAGTAAAAGAAAAATTCTTTCATTTGTATACAATCCGTGCCCCCTGCCCTGAGGACAATCCACTATGCAACCTTCATTCTGGACTCTTGTCATAACCCTAATACCAAATATCACTTTTAAACTGTTTTCTCTCTCTCATCAGTTTCAATGCAGTATACATGATTTATCCCAATTTTTCTCAGTCTCACCCCAACCCTGATGTCAGTCTTGTTCTACAACAGTGGCACTATATAGTATTTGTCCTTTTGTGACTGAGATATTTCACTCAGCATAATAACGTGTCTTTTTAAGTGCAGAACGGTATCAAACTGAGTCTGCTGCCTTATCAAATTTTGGAAATTCATTTCAAAGATTTTTGAATGGGGTAAAAATGGATGATTTGACATGTACAGAAGATATCTTTGTTAAGTCATTGTAAATATATATTCCAAGATATGCTCTGATTCAACTCCATACGTTTATCTGCTGAATTTAAATTTGTCTGATCAGTCTGGTAAACACCAACTGCTTTAGCACAGAAGTAGAGACTTGAGTCCAATAGTCTATACTGAATCTGTACAGCTTTTTGTGCCAGGATTGGTTTTGGATTCTAATGGGCATATTACTTGCTGTCCAATGTGACCTGTATATTTGAAATCCAGGTTGGTGCCAGTTAGCTCTGATGGTATGCTAATGACTATCGCGTTTTAACATGTTTCCTTTCTGTTGTCTTGGGGATCTTGGGTTTCTTGCTCAAGCCAGGGCTTGTGATAAGTCACCATGCTGACCACACGTTGAGCAGCTTCTGCCAGTGGCAATCTGGATTGATGGGCAAAGATGGGACTCGCCACGACCATGCCATCTTACTGACCGGTCTGGACATCTGCTCCTGGAAGGACGAGCCTTGTGATACTTTGGGTAAGATTGTTGAGCAGGGTTTGAGGAGAATGGATATGCTATTCACTGTTTCCAGAACAGGCTACCAAGCACTTCCCACTTCATTTCCTATTAATAAATGTTAGGTACTGTTGCATGGCTTGAATTTGTTTTTCAGCTCCTTCAGCTCTCTGCACATTTCATTATAAAGAATGAAATTAATTCCATGTATAAACTTAACAAAGGTTAAAGTGTGTGACTATCTGGTCATTAATTGGGACTGATTTGACAAGGAACCATGTTCCACAGGTGCACAAGATGCATTTCAGTTACTTAAGTCTTCCAGCTTAATAAATGATGTCTCCCCATTCTTCCCATTGTGACAATGAAGATGCTAAATTTAAAAGCATGCCTTATATAACAGACATGATACACTTAATATTAGTGACAATACTATAATAATAATAATAATAATAATAATAAAATAAAAATAATAATAATTCATTCCCTGTTTCTTCACAAATAGCTACATTTTAGAAGTCAGTGTGGGTGTTTATGCGGGCGGGTATCTCCTGGAGATCGCAGTTTGTTGTTTTTCAAGGATACTGCATTGCTACTGCCCAGAGGCTCCGTGGAACATTCTGTCCGTCCTTGTATTCCCCAAGAGCTCAGGGAGGAGAGGTTTCTACTGAACACACTTTCAGAAAGGGCCTGATCTGGGGGCAGCTCATCTATTTGCTACACTACCTTTGCACTCAGCTTCTTGAGAACATAGATCATACACATTGCTTAGGGCTAGGCCACTAACCACAGATAACAGTTCAATCCATCCAGAAAGACCTAGGAAGAAAAGCCTGGTGATCTCCTTCCCACAGGTCACAGCCTTGGATGACTCTGGAGCAAGTCTTTCTAAGGCGACTGCGTCACCACACGTCAGAACACACTAAATGGCACATGGTTTGGTCTACTTAGTTTTGAAACCCCAAGTTGTTATAGAAAAAGGCAGAAATCTGCCTGCCTCTTCAGTGCACTCCCTTGTGTACCTTTCCCACTGACAGCCTGTAAGATGCACGTTCCATGTTGATGCTGATAGGTGCCATGGACTCCGGTCCATTCCCAGCGCACAACAGACTTGCCCCATCCAGCACCATTCCCACAATCCCCATCGCCTTAAATCAATTGCTGAAACAGCAGTGTCAGCCCATCTCATTGCTAGTCTTCCTGTCTTGTTATCCTCCATAAACTGCCCTCCATGTGACAGAGAGCCTGTGGGTCCTAGGAGAAGACTCCTTTTCTCCTAAATTATGTGGTGTCCTTTATGTGGTGGACAGTCTCCTTCTGTGCTGTTAACTGCCTCTGAAAACCCACCTGAGAGGCGTCCAGGAGCGGGTTCCCACTCGGCGGTCCACAATAACAACTTTATGTACTTTTCCAAGGGTTTCCCTTCTCAAATCTTCCCAAGCGAAGGTGAACACGCAGCTTCTTGAAAGGGCAGAGAATAAGCATGCACATGCTTCTTTATTTTATTGTTGGGTCTTTCTGTCCCACAGGATTTGCACCCATAAGTGGAATGTGCAGCAAATACCGTAGCTGTACAATCAACGAAGACTCGGGTCTCGGGCTGGCCTTCACCATTGCTCATGAGTCCGGACACAAGTAAGTCCCTCTCCGTCAGAGAACCCCTCTCCGTCAGGGAATGGAGCTCTTCTCCTTAACGGAGGAGCACAATGTCTGTTCCAAGCACAATCAGTTGAGTCTGTAGAGGATTTTCCGTGGTGGTGCCCTTGGCTGCCACACCATGATCTCTCTTCAGCCTGAACTCTTTTATTATCATGGTGCCTCTCAGTGCACATCTCAAAGCAATTTGATGCTCATGTTGTTTCCACATCCTGTGCACTGGTCCTGCTCGCTGAACACAGTACCCACCTTGTTCTGCTGGAGCAATTGCTTTCTTGGTCCCACGTGAGCACGAGGAGGTACTGGGATTCCCATTCCTCTCAAGGTTATCCAAAGTTTACTATGTTCCACATGGCTGAGTGCCTTTGCATGGACCATAAGAACCAACTAAACACACTTCCCATTTCTGGCCTTCTCTGTTTTCATCTAAGGTCCATCTGATGTTAACAACCATTTCCTCTACTCATGATCAATGTTAAAATCCTGCTGGGTCCCTGTGGATGTATTAATTAAGCCATCTTTAAAAATTCTTTCACTAAGACTCTATTTTCATTATTCCTCTTTCCATAAATTTTCCAAAAGTTTCTAACATTTCCATTCCAATGATCAGTTATTATTATTGTGTAATCTTGATTGTGTATTCAGTATCTTTCAAATGCAGAAGAAAGCCCCAATTTTCCCCCACCTTTGGCATTGGAGTTTTGTGGGCAGTTTGAACATTAGTAATCTAAACAAGTCTATGTATGTGTGTCAATGTTATCCTGTCACTGACAACCTTGTACTTCAGGATAGATCTTGAAATGTTTTGTTTTTGACAATGAGTCTGACATTCTGCAGCTTCAATTTTTCATTCCGACCATAGTGGATCGTATGATTAACTGATTCATGTGTATGTATATGTGTGTGCACATGTGGGCATGCATGTGAATGCATATTGAATGTATGTGAATGTGTGTGCATAGGCAGGGAGCATATATCTATGGACATGTGAGTATGTATGTGTGCGTGTGAGCGTGTCAGCATAGGTAGATGCCTGTGTCCTGTGTGTGCTGAGTTATGCATCTATGCACGTGCCCGTTTGTACCCATCTGAATATGGATGCATGTGTGTCAATGTTGGGTTTATGTGCATATGTGGGGTGGGTATGTGTGTGCACACCTGAGTATGTTTGCAATGACTCATGTAAGCACCTGTGTACGCATGCATATGTTAACTATGAAATATATGCATATAGGTATATGGAAGGACACACAGAGATGTGCTCTTGCATGTGTGCACCTGTGCATGGACTCCCCCACCCCCCCCCGCCCCCAGATACCCTGCAGGCTTTGACTGTGGGTGACCCGATGACCTGCATGTGGCAGCTTTATGCCTCATCCCTGATCCCTTCATTATTACAGGTAATGATTGACTGGCTTTGTCAGTGCCTAGAGAATTGCACCTACACTTTATGAAGTTTTCAGTTAAATCCTAATTGTATGTCTAATAGTGTATCTGAGTTAAAACTTCAAAACCCTTCATTATTTTAATGGCACAGGGCTCTTGCTGTCCTCTGAACCATGTCTGAATTTAATTAAACAATCAGGGAGAGAAATATTTAAATTACGGCTGACTGAGAAAGTCAAGGTCAGATAAGCAGTTGAGATATGGGCTTGGCAGTGCTAACCACTGCAGGTGGTGAACTTAACTAATGATAAACTTGATGCCTCCAAAACTGGACTGACAGTCTTTAATGTCAACAAATATCAACACTGTCCCTCAATTTTTCTTAGAAGTCAATTATTAATTTTCCTTTCATCACCATAGTTTCATTGGGATCGATGAAATTTCTTCCAAAGATTAAAAAAAAAAGTTATTTTGTTTGTTAAGTGAGAAGCGAGAGAACAAAAAAAACAAAACAAAAAAGGAGCCAGGAGCCGTGGCAGTGTAGGGGTTTAGAGAAGTGCTTGGTAACTGAAAGGTTAGTGGTTTGAACCTATCAGTCCGTCTGTGTAAGAAGAGATGGGTCGTCTGTGTCCATAATGAATGCCACCTAACAAATCTCCTGGATGTTTCTGATTATTCTCCTGGGCCTCTATGTCTTAGGATCAACTTGATGGGACACACAACATAAGACAGTAAAAGAAAGGCTTTCTAAATTTGCAAGAAAGAGAACCGAATCCCTCACACAGAATGAACCTCTGTGTCTTTGTGAAATCCTGTTTGAGCACCTAATGCACAAACAGACCTTGGAGATAACATGGATTTGATTCCAGATCACTATAACAAAACCAAACAATAACAAAAAAACATGGATTTGATTCCAGATCACTATAACAAAGCCAAACAATAACAAAAAAAGTGGGTTGCTTGAGTTTTTTGATCTCTCCAGGCCTATAAAAGGTATGTGTGCAGTACACAGTAGGCGATTAAGTGTCCGATAGAATTGCAAAAAAAAAAGTTGAAACACTGTGAGAGTAACCAAAATTTGAAACACATACACAAAATGAGCACTTTCTCTTAAAAACTGGTGTCCAAACACTTGCTGTGTGCAAGCTTGTCACAGACCTTCACTGTGTAAAAAGCACAATATCTGTGAAGAGCAAGAAAGCGAAGGACGATAAAGGACAGTGTGCTTGAGCTCGCAGGACGTGTGTGTGTGTGTGTGTGTGTGTGTATGAGATGGAGGAACTGGAGGCTCTGAGGAGGCTGTATCTGCAGTGAGGGATTTCCTGAACAGACTGAAGACAAGAGGTGCAAATAAATTGTATACATACTTGGTCAAATGAAATGCTATGATCTGATATTGTTATAATTATTAGCTGCTTGCAACTCACCTCTGACTCAGAGCAACCCATGCGACTGGATAATCTACCCTGTAAGGTTTTCTAAGCTATAATTTTATGGAAGCATATCTCAAGGTCTCTCCTCCTTATGGAGCTTTTCAGTGGGTTTGAACTCCCATTCTTCGGTCCCCAACTAAATGTGTAACCATTTCATCACCGTGGCTTCTGATGACAATAATAGCAATACATTAATTATGGGGATACCCCTCAGACATAGATTGACACTGTGAATTCAACAATGGACTTGACCTGTATCAAGAGCATGACAGTGACCAGAATGGTGTCAAGTTCAGATCTGTTGTTCATAGAGTCATTATGTGTCTTGGTCGACCTCATGGCACTGAACAGCAATTGTTTATGGGGCACTTTCTATAAAATTCACAGAGCAGTGTTTTCACTTTTTTCCATCTCATGAACATTGGGTATGAGAAAGAGATGAGGAGGCCTTTCTTATATCACCTTAGGATGTTGTGTATGCTGAGTGTTCAGTACGTTGGTGTGAATTGAATGAGAGGAGTAATCCAGCCAGCCAGGATTGATGGAAAGAGTGAAGAGTGAATATTGCTTCAACTTATTGACTTGGACAGTTATAGTCTCTGAGAGAGGCTGTTGCAAGTAAGAAAGGGGGAAAAAAAACCAAACCCAAAAAACAAAAACAAACCAAACAGTCAATTTTAGTGAAACTGAGGACAAAATGCACTTATTCTGTTGGTGTATTTCACAAAGATCATTAATTGATTGAAGACCGAAATAGGCACTTAATGAATGTGTAGTACGCATTACTGTTGTTGAGTGTCACCAAGTACATTTCAACTCATAGCCACTCCATATGACAGAACAGCCCTGTCTAGTGATGTAGGCAGTGGCATGGTGTGCTGTTAACCAAAGCACTATGCTTATATACCCACACTGTTGTGTGCCATAGTGTCAGAACCAACCCATACCTGACCTTCCAGTAGGTTTTCAGAGGCAGTAAATTGTACGGGAGGAGATTGCCCCTCCAAATCCTATAGAAGAGCTGGTGTATTCGAACTCTGTGTCTTTGACATTTCAGCGCAGCTTCTTACCACTAGGCTACCAGAGTTCCTATGTACCTGTAAGTTAAAGAAATCTTGCATCTGTTGAACTTGTATAACATAAAATAAACCATCCCATTTTCAAATTGAATTTTAATTTTTCATATTTTTTTCTTGTAATATTTAAGTGTCATTATTTGGGATAAAGTGTGTCTTCACTCACACTTTGTACATGAAGTGCACAGATCTTCTAGTCTTTAACTCAAAGAAAGACTTGAGTCTGGGAAATTTCCGCCACTGAGTTCAGTTGCCTATTGTAAACCCAGCTTGCACTTCTGGTAGTTCTCTGTAGATGCGCTGCTCCAGTCATTTTGAAAAATCTTCAGCAGACTCTTGCTTGCATGTGGTATTAGTGATACTGTTTGGTAATTTCTACACTCTACTGGATCACAACTTTTTTTTATGGGTATAAGTATAGATCTCTTCCAGTCAGTTGGTCAGGTGGTTGTCCCTCAATCTTCTTGGCACAACCTAGCGAGCACGTCCAGGGCAGCATCTGTTTGTTGAAATATGTTGATTGGTAGTCCATCAATTCCTGGGGCCTTGTTTTTTTGCCAAATCCTTCAGGGCAGCTTGATGTTCCTCTTTCATCACTATTGCTTCTTGATCGTATGCGGTTTCATGAACTTCTTCTGTGTCAGCTGATTCTTATTGGTATGATGACTTAGTGTACTCCCTCCTCCTTCTTTCAATCCTGGACCACTCAACATTCTGCCATGGAATCCTTATGTGTTATCATTCGAGGCTTGAATTAGTTCTTCAATATCTTCTGAGTTTCCAGCTCCATCTTTTTGCCCATTTCATTATAATACTTTGTCTTTCTGAGCTGCCCTTTGAAATCTTCTGTTCAACTTATCAACTTCCTGATTTCTTCCCTTTTCTTTGGCTTCTCAGCACTCCACTGCAATGTTCATAGTCTCTTCTGACATTCATCTTGGTCTTTTCTTACTCCTCAACCTTTGTAATGACCTCTTTTTCATTCTTCGTGAATGATACTCTTATTAGCATCCCACAGCTCATCTGGTCAAAGGCAGACTTGAGTCTAGGAACTCATTAGTGTTTAAAGGCTGAAACATGT